GTAAAGCGCTATACAAATACAGGCCATTTACCATTTCTTTCAGGTCAATTCGATAAAGCTCTTCAGGCTGTTTGGCTGTGAAATATTGATGCTGTTATGATTGTGAAGCACTTCAGAAACTTCTCCGAGTTGTCGACACCGGCTAATGGCAATACAACAGGCCATGAATGATTCAAGACTCAGGAATGGAAGGGTGGAGGACTGGAAAAGAATCTAAACGGTGGAGCAATCGATGGCTTTTTGAGCTCCACGCCTACATTTATGTAAACATGTACAGTAAAGGATCCTTCCCCCAAATATCCAAATCCATATCTTCCTCGAGATACTAGTCTTACCAGTTAATTAACTCTGCAGTGGCCAAACAAATTCACTAACAATTTAACCCCACAGAAAAATGTATACAGTTTCCTTTAATCTCATTTTCAACCATTTTTGTGCAATATCGAGTTAACCCAACTTATCTGTCAGTTGAGCTGCTTCATCTTCGTCTGCCTTGAAGCTTCTTTTCTGCACTTATTTTTAGATTTGAACCATTTTACATCAATGACCCTGATGAAATACTGCAGTAAATACTTGATTGGATTAGGCTACAGTAAGTTAAAAACCAAGAAGCCTTTATTTGGACTCTAATTGCACGACTCGCATCTTAACATCAACGCCTGTAGTGTTGCGAATTATGCAAATGATAACATGTTCCAGAGGTTCTTATTATCAGTGGCTGTCCCGTGGCTGCTGTGAAGCTCTTGGATGAGTTGCTTTGAAATGACCCCATCACACCCGAGCTGAGAAAGAACAAAATAATCTTTTGCAGAGCTGATGGTGGCGAGTAATGGGCGCTCTGGATAAATGTTAATTGGCTGCCTTCCTGCGGCTGAGTTTGCTCAGCGCAGTTCGGGGTCGTATATCATAGCTGGGCGGTTAACTCCAGTGTACCTGGAATCCAGCCACAGTGTGATCGACTCTACAGGAGCATTTAAATAGCCATTTGTACGTGTGCATCCACTTAATTTGAGCTCTGGAAGCTAAATATAAGTGTAAGAGTAGCAGTACGAGCTTTTTAAAATGCAGCATTAGACCGTGGAAAACTGAATATTTAGGTGGTAGGGCACAGAATGAGAATTAGGGGATTCATCAAGTGGAAATGACAATAAATAGTTTATGCTCTCATTTTATTATAGAGGACAACTAATATGTTTTTATTAAGGCTGAAACAGGAGCTACTGAACTGCAAAGAGAGTTTTTCTTTCCTGTTTTAAAGCTGATCTTGATGTATTTAGCGTTCGTGTCATTAGTCACACAAATGAAGGAGGATTTAACTCTTATCATTACTAAATTTTCTCCAGCTAGCTGAATGTGTTTGATGTTTTGTGCTGCACAGGGGGCTCTATTTCATCCACTGACCCACCTTCACCCCTGCCTGTCTTTGTGCCTCCCTCCCCCTCACCTCCAACCAGTCGCAGCAGATGGCCCCGCCCCTCCCTGAGCCTGGGTCTGTTGGAGGTTTCTTCCTGTTAAAAGGGAGTTTTTCCTTCCCATTGTTAAGTTTGTACTCATAGGAGGTCCTATGATTGCTGAGGTTTGTCTGTATTATCTTGGGGTCTTACAATATTAAGCGGCTTGAATTGATTTGTTGCTATATAAAAAAATGAATTGATTTTGGGCCTTTATTCTGTTGTTCAGAGGCTGGAATATGAAGCCTTAAATACTAAAATTCTTCTGTTACTCTAATGTCCTCTAAATGTGAGTCATTCCCCATAGACTCCAATGTTAAAATTTCCCAGCCTGCTGCAAAAACAGATTAGACTCTATGGACAGTTTAACACCTGTACAGGTGGTGATACACTTCTGTTAAGGGTGTGGCTCCTTTGATTGACAGCCCAGTGTGCTTCTGTTGCATCCAGTCCTACTCCACAGTAGAAGATGCTCTGTTGCGACTTGATCAGATCGCTGGTATCTTGTTTTTCCCTGCCTTGGTTTTAGGCCTGACCTCTGCTAACTTAAACTACTGCACCGCTGAGTCACATTTGGTGTTTTTTAGAACAGTTACCTGTCAATAATATGTCAAAGAAGTTTTGGTGATCAACCTGCTGTGACTTGGCAGCTCTGTTTGTTTTTGTGTTTGTTGCTCACCATCTTAGTTTGTAGTGTAGCTTGCTAATTAGCTAGCTAGCATTAGCTGATAACCTAGCTCGTCACCTTCTTATCTCAGTTTGTTCAATTCTTGCTCCAGAAAACCAAACCAGCTGCTGTTTTATACACTCTATACTCTCTGTACTTTGTTCTCTGGCTTTCATGAAGCTTCCTGATATTTTAAGTCAGATTACTGCAGCTGGTAAGTTTCCCTCCTGGTACGAGCCGTGACCCACGTACCACAGCTGAGAAGGCTTTGCTCCATCCCAGATTTCCTGTTTTCTTACTTTAATGTTACTGGTAACTAATCGAGGGCACTGGTGACTCCTATTGTGGATGTCTGTGGATAGTACGTTTTTGTTTTTAAAGTGTGATTTATATTGTTTGTTTGTTTGTTTGATTGTTTTTTGGGGGGGGGGTTGTTTCATTCAGTTTCAGGGGTAGCAATCATTAACCAAGACATACAAGTCTTTTATGTGATTTTTTTTTTTTTACTTTTTCTATCTTTTTTTCTATTTTTTTTATTTTTATTGTTATTGCTTATTTGTTTATTGATTTATAGGGATTACATCAGGCTATGATTTTGCTGTTTCCACTGCAGTAATTGATTCATGCAGCTTGTTTAGAAAGTCAGACCTTTTAACACCATCATGTAAACATCACTTGGTGACCTCTGTGCAGCTGTTTACAGTCAACTGTTACTCATTTACTGTGCACGTTGAAGTGTTCAGCTCTGTAATGGTGACTCACATCCTGCTGGCTCACAGGTTAAACATGACAATCACATGAGTGAATAAAAATCTGCATTAGCGTTTGCATGCAGTACCAGGCTGGGGTTTTTATTTCACTGGTTATTTACTGATGATGATCAATGATGCTGCTGCATAGCTGGATTTTTAATAATCATGTGACCACCAACCAGCGCGTACTCGAGCACAAGGTGAACAAATGTGATAACAGCCTCGCTTTACTTATTACACTACAGGTCCAAGAGGTGATTTATCACCCTGGATGCTGCTGTGTTTGGACAAAGAGAGTGCTTTGCTTAAGGGCATTGAAAATTGATGCCACCTGTTAGCCTGCTAACTGGCGTCATGATAAATATGCTTGAATTTGTTTAATTAATTCTCGCTTCCACCTTAAAACCAAAACTGGCTGATCTGTCTGCGGCGCTGCCCCCAGGCTCTTAAATCCAGCATCATGTCAAGCTCTGCTGCTCGTGATTGTACATCAGCTCTTGTGTACAGACCCTCCTACGTTCTTCCTCCTACAAGCCTTCTACAGGGGAACAATTGTCTATACCTTTTTTTTCTGTCATATTGTTTATCCTGTTCTTGGAGGCTGTTCATATTAAACAGTTATTATTGTACGATATTATCGTATCAGGTCAGGGTGTGTAAAGGAAATCCCTATGAGCCAACAGCTCAGACTGGAGCCGGCTCTAAAAACTCAGCTTCACTCAGTTTTTTCTACTTCTGGTGCTGTATGATGTCATAGAGATCCCACCAACCTGCTGTTCCAATGTGTTGTTTAGGGGCAGCCAATCAGAGGAGATTTTTCTTAAAGGCAGAGGAGCTAAACTATCTTTCTGGAGCTGGACTGAGCAGAATAGGTCTCCTTTAATTGTGCTGCTTCACTTGTGCTTTTGTAGTTGTTATATTTCTAATGTAATGTCCTTTAGATCAGCTCCTATAGTTTTCAAATGTGCTGCATAAATACAGGTGACTTAAACTGACTTTGTTGGTTTGTCCATTGAAATTAATGGCAATATTTTTTCCAAACCAAACCCTTTTTTTAAAGCGCTGTGTGCAGATTTCACCGTAGCAGTGGGAGGTTGTCAGTGAGCCTGCTGGCTTCACAATTATCTCACAATTTGTTTAGTTTAAAGGAAAATTCTGCTGTTTTTCTGATGCTGTGTGGTTAGCGGGCCTGCTTGGTGGAGATTAGTCTGAATTCAGCCAGTTCTGAACGACTCATCTGCCAGGCACACATTCATTATGCAACAGAGAGCCTGCAGTACAATCGCTGAAGTTAAACCGATCAGCACGAGCAGCAGGATGAACGCTCCTACCCGGTTAAATTAAAAAGGCGGAACGGAAAGAAATGAATTTTGCTATATATGTGCTGTAATTTAGCCTCATTTAAATGAAACTCTGTGCATGCAGTCAAATTAAAACAGAAATTAACAAAAAATCTGACGTGTGCTAATAAAATGTTCGTTCTTAGTATCTACACTGTTTTCTGATCACTGCGGCGTGCTTTCTGTATGTTTATGTCACATTGTTAAATAAGACTGTATAATTTTTCATTTTTAGACCTCATGTTACAGTAAGCAGTTCCAGACCTCCAGTGTTCCTGCTTTTTAATCATAGTGGTCTCGGTTTAGATGTGTTAAAACATCAAATATTCTCCGTTTGACTTTGTATTTTCATTGTCTTGTGATTTCCATCTTTCATCCAGTTACAGCTTTAAGTTTTAGTTTGTGTTCAGATGTGTCTCGTTCCCCTCCGTGTCCACTTCCCCCTGAAGACTTGATGTGTCCTAAAGGTTCAGTCAGTCCTCCTCTCGTGGTCTGCAACCACAGATTCATGACAACAAGTTTGATGAGGATGTTTTTGTTGGGTTTTTTTAGTCTTTATCCTGGAGTTACTCCTGCAGGTTTGAGTAAATGTGATATAAACACATTATAATATAATTTATCCCCCCGTGCATAAATTAAAGGGAGACGTGGCCCCCTCTAGTGGTGACAGTAAGACTGTGCAGTTTCACTCTGAGTGATTTTTTTCCTGCACTCTGTAGTGTTTGTGTGTCCTGCACATGAGTGTCGTGCATTATTGTAACTGAATGTTTTTCCTCTTGTGTGTCTGCAGGTTTTTAATCGTTCTGGGCTGTTTGATTCTGGCCATACTGACCACATTCAAGGAACACGAGAACGTGTCGGCACACTGGCTGGTCATACTGGTGAGATTTCATTTCTTCATTTATGTTTGTATCTTTTTTTTTTATATATATATATCGTTCCACTAAACACAAGCTTTTTTTAATGTGCATCATCAGACGCATGTTTCACTCAAATCAGCAAATTTGACCTTTAAAAAAAATGTCAAATTCAGGGGTCGCAGGGTGCTGAAGCATAAAATCTGGTACTTGCATTTCACATTTAAATAAACTAAACTCAGCTGATATAAATACTTATAATATAAATACTTCACTGTTTTAAAAAATAAATAGTGTAAAATGCAGATACACAAACATTAAAAGGACTGAAATAGGACTGATAGTAATGAGCAGCTGTAAAACATGAGTAAGTAAATCAATAAATGGTTAGAGGACATTTTTTTAAAAAGTACAAAATAATAAATATATTAGATTAAAGCAGGAAAATGTTGATTTAATAAAAGGACTGCCAGAAAATTACAAGAAAATCTCCAAAAATGAAGCGTCCGAAGGAAAAATGTACAAAATAAAATTGAAATCCAATTTTTGGTTGAAATCATTCCCACCTGGACAGTTTCCGTTTGCCCTTCTGAACAAATCAGAGCTTATTTGGACAAAACAACACTTCAAATATTCAATTTTCTCTTTTTTTAATCTTGTTTGTTGCTTCACGACCGAGAGAGCAGATGTGGAGTGGGTCCAAAACAGGATGTAACAACAAACAAAGAGGCAGATTCAGTAACACTGAAAGATTTCACTGAATTTGAATCGTTATTGATGTAGCATGCAGCTCGTATCTGAGCGAGCTGTGAATGGGTTTTTGACGTGTCCTTGTGCAGGAGACGTTCGCCATCTTCATCTTTGGAGCCGAGTTTGCGCTGAGGATCTGGGCGGCCGGTTGCTGCTGTCGCTATAAAGGATGGAGGGGCAGGCTGAAGTTCGCTCGCAAACCCCTGTGCATTTTAGGTAAGGTCATTAAAGGTTTCTGAGCATTAAACATGGAAATCTGCTGCTGAACATCCTGTTTGGTGAACGATGTGTTACTGGGAGCTCGTCAGTAAGGAAGGCTTACCGACACGTCTACAGGGGGTTTTGGATATAAGTAAATCAGTGGCAGGAAATTCCAAGCCTAAGTGTGTCCTGCAGGTTTTAGATCTCACCCTTCATTACCAGGCCTCTGGAGAACTTCAGGACATGTTGTGGAAGTAATTTAGCCATTTAAATCAGCTGTGTTGGATCCAGGACACGTCTAAAACCTGCAGGACATCGGGCCTCGAGACCTGGAGTTCCCCACCCCTGAAATTAATAATGTAGAGTTTGTTTCCGTCATTTTCTGGCACCTGTAAATGTCAACTTCGACTTTCAGTGAGATCTGCAGGTGTTCACAAGAGTGAAAATCAGGATTGTTTCAGTTGTTAGACCATACAGAGTGTAAAGGTGGACGTAGCTACTGTGACGTAAATCTTTACATAGCAGCAAGATGTGCTCCGTCATAATGTGTTTTTGATGCGATGCTGCAGCACGTGGGTGTCAGTTTTCCTGTAAAACAGCTTTTTCTTTTACGTTTTCTGGTTTTAATGACAGCAGCTCTGCAGATGAAGATGAAGCGACTCTCATTATTTTGCAGACTTCTCTGCAGTTTTTGGGAAACAGTTTTGGATGATGATGATGAGTTTTCGATTTCCTGCAGATGCCTTGACCTATAAACACAGAAATAGTCTTCCAGGACAAGAATTACAGCTTGTGATGCCATGAAAGGCTTTTTTTTATTCATCACCAACCTTTAAAATCTGATCCAGGCTCTAAAAGCTTTAGACAGCTCCTCTGTTCAACCATCCAGCTTGGTGTAATAACCAGCGTGCACTGACGAGTGGTTACTGAGTGAGTCTGTGTGTGCAGTAACACAGTGCACACAGGGAATATACTTTATGTTAATAATACCCTTCCAAATATTTTACAGCTAATATAATGTGCTGTGCGGCACTTTGAAGGAAGAAGCATTCACATTAATTCTCCTTGTGTGTTAAAACCATTAAACGTATTAGGAGCATCTCATCGGCGTCTTTATGTTCAGCTCCTGTTAGGAACTCGTCGTCCCACAAAGACGACTGAATCAGCGTGTCGGGTCAGTCTCATTAACCATGTGAAGAAAGCTTTTCCCTGACAGTCTTTTACGCGAGGTTTTGTCTGCTGTGTTTTCGGCTCAGACATCTTCGTGCTGATTGCCTCGGTGCCGGTGGTGGCGGTGCGTAACCAGGGAAATGTGCTGGCCACGTCCCTGCGCAGCCTGCGCTTCCTGCAGATCCTGCGGATGCTGCGCATGGACCGGAGAGGAGGGACGTGGAAGCTACTGGGCTCCGCCATCTACGCGCACAGTAAGGTAGGCGTGGACCCGAGCACACTTCCTGCTTCCTGACGTGTGAGCATTTTAAAGGAAGTTGCTGGAAAACATAATTATGGAAATGTGCACTTCTCTGGAAGGAGTCGGCTGTCGCTCTGAGACGACTGAAAGTGCTTGAAGTATCGAGTAAAGTGTAGTGAAGCACTCACATGAGCTGAAGATGTAAAGAAACTAAACTGGAAGCAATTAGAAAGTTTATGGGAGTTTGCAGGAACTGACTCAGATTTGAAGGTAGCCTCAGGTGGACATTAGAGGAACTGCGGCTGTTGGCTTCATTTCTCAGACCCGGAATCTGCTGCTTAGCTGTGAATGTGTAAATAATGAATTAGAACAGTCTTTTATTGGATTTAAAATAAAAAAATATCAGCTTCTTTCAAATATTTCCCTGTTTTCTGCAGGAGCTGATCACAGCCTGGTACATCGGCTTCCTGTCTCTCATCCTGGCGTCCTTCCTTGTCTACCTGGTGGAAAAGGATGACGCCTCTGTGAGCATGTCTGACCAGGAGAACCCCACGGCCCAGCCCAAAGAGCAGGACTTTGACACCTACGCTGATGCGCTTTGGTGGGGGCTGGTACGTGCATTAAAAAAAACAAGCTCCAAGTTTACGACTAACACTGCACTCAGTGAATTAACATGCATATTGTTGAAATTTTGTTGCTGGAAACAAAAAATCCTGTCTTGAATTCTGCAAATTATTTGTCTGGAAATGATTTTGGCAGCTTAGAGGTGAGAGTAGATTTGGCTGCAGCTCGGTGGACAGATGGTGCCTGGCCAAATCATCAACTGCTAATATTTTGGCTTTAAATCAAATCTGGGATTTCTGCCAAGAGGACAGGAAAAAAATCAGGTTTTAGTTTCTAGTAATGTGCCGGTGGAAAGCCTGAGGGTTTCCGGTGAATCCCGTTTGAAAGCTCGCAGAGCTCTGAGCTTTAATGAGGGCCTCTGGCAAGGGAAGCACCAATGCCTCATTAAAGCGACCGTCCTTCAACCAGAGGGGCCAAAAGTTCAAGCTCCATGACAGCGAGCATCTGCGCCGCCAGAATGTCCTTCAACAAGATGTTCCACTGTCACCGCCTGCTTTTCAGGGCGATCCTCTGACTCCGGGAAACACTGAAGAGCCCTTTAACGGATCGATACGAAGGTCACAGAGAGAGATGAGTCTCCACGGAAACATTACTGCTGAAACGAGGACGCCGAGGCTGTTGTGTCAAATTTTAGTGATTTAATTTAAAAGATTTTCTGCCTGTGTTTTATCTTCCTTGTGTTTTTCAGATCACACTGACCACCATCGGCTACGGGGACAAAACCCCAAAGACCTGGGCTGGGAGGCTGCTAGCCGGCACCTTCGCTCTGATCGGAGTGTCCTTCTTCGCTTTGCCTGCAGTGAGTGCGCTCTCCTCTACACAAAGCTGCTGATGGTGCAGGGTTTCATTTAAGTCCGAATAAATCAATCAATACATACTCATGTTAGGAAATCTGTCTTGTATGAACTGCACAAGTAATTCTGACCTTTTTATTTATGAAGAAAAAATGTGCAACACAAGTTGATTGTAACACTTTAATGCTAGATTATTAGTAAGTGTCGCCTCTTTCAGTATAAGAAAACAGTCAGTTCTCTCCCGGGGCATCAGATAGTGCCGTGATATCAACCACTGGTGTCACTCGTTTATACACCAGGCGTCCTCTGGTCCCGGGGTTATGATGTGTCACTCTCTACCTTCTTACTGTGCAGGGCTATTGTTAATAAAGAGCCTTACTTTACACCCACAGTTTACCGACACTCGACCAAGTGAAAGCAGGTCTCAGTGGGACTCGAACCAGAGCCTCCACATTCTGGAAGCATCAGTTACTCTGCGATGAGAACATGTGGGTAAAACATGTTCCCACTGAAGGTTATCAGCTGTAATCAGTCCCATGGATACAGCTAGCAGAGCACCGCCCTGCACCTCCTTAATGACCAGGAGGTCATGTGTTTGCATGTATGTGATACATGAGCAGCCGAGTGAATAAGTACGTGTAAAACATCTGCTTGCGTTGGTTGATGTGGACAAAGGAGGACTTTTGAGCCAAGCTGTGACCTTTTGCTAACCCTCACCAAGATAAAGGCGAGGTGTTAACATTTTGCTCGGCACTGGCGTCCCGCAGCACGGCAGGAGCACTGAGCGACGTGTTTTCTGTTTTTATGGCTGCAGGGTATTCTGGGCTCGGGCCTGGCTCTGAAGGTCCAGGAGCAGCACAGACAGAAGCACTTTGAGAAGCGCAGACATCCGGCTGCAGGCCTCATCCAGGTGAGACGCTACCTGACGGCATCGGCATCTTTCTGCGTGGTCCAGCTGAGACTTTCTATGTTTTCTGGACTCAGTTAAGCTGAGCGCTGTTATAACTTCTGGTTGATCTCCTGTCTTCCCATCTCAAGTCTGCCTGGAGATATTATTCCACCAATCCAATCAGGGAAGACCTTATTGCCACTTGGAGGTTTTACGAAACTGTCATCTCTCTTCCCTGTTTCAGGTAAGTACCACAAAACATAACAGTCACTTTTATAGTCCTCGTGCATTACCTTAAGTTAGCAAACAACATTAAATATGTTGTTTTTTGTTTGCATCTGCAGATTTAACACTAAGTTGATTGACCTGGAGAGTTTTACTTTTAGATTTCTTTGAGTAAGAAGCAAAAAAACTCAAATTAAAATTTTTATTAAAGATTAAACATAAAAGACGAATCAGCAGTTTGCACTATTTTGGAACATCAACCAAGAAAAATGCACTCGGTGGATTTCAAACTGAGGATTTTTGTCGTGCTTTGGTCCTCTTCTGACTTTTAGTCTTTATCAAAGGATATTTAAATCCTACGTTGCATGCAGATACCTGATTTTGATCCTTTCCTCTCTCCCCGTCCACAGGAAGGACACCTTGGAGGTCATGGCGAGGTAGGTCACCGTTTGGTGTCCATGCAGAGACACAGTTAATCACACAGAGCTGTGCCTAAAGTAAATGCTTTCTGACGGGGCTTTAATTAGCCCCACATGCTGGAGAGACTAATGAACATTTCCTAGAATATCTCACCCTGCCCGCCTTTAAATAGCTTCCTGTATTAATTCACCAGTCGGATAAATCTCGGGGCTAATGGCCGTGGGACGTATGAATTTTGAACGCCCACGCGTCCCTCTGCCTTCCACATCAGCTGCTTTAATGACATTTAAGCTGAGAGGTTTCTGTGGAAACCTATTAGCGAGTCCATTAGTTGTGTTTCAATTATGAGTGACAGTTTAGATCTTGTAATTAGGGCCTCAGAAGAGGTCTATGGGTTTGACTTTTCATTTTTCTCCGTCCTGCTGAGCGACATTAATGAGTCTCCACATCAAAAAGTGTTGTGAAACTCCAACTGAGGCTTTCGGTTTGAGGAGCAGATTGAACTTGAGCTGCTGCAGATGTGTCACCGCGGTTATCGACATATAATGATATAATGAGATAATTTAATCAAAGTCCTGCAAAAGACACAGAAGCCGCACAGACTGACTGAGTGGCATTAGCACATGTGAAGTCAGTGACACCTGTCTGCTCACCTGTTAGTCATAGCAGCCACTTGTCTAACCTTGGTCTTGGTTGTTTGCATATGGACACAGTATAAAAACAAATTACCCAGTGCACAGGTGAAAAGGTCTCACCTGCTTTGCACTCTATCCTACCCAAGGCCTCAGTCACACAGGCATAGAGACCACTCTGCGACCACCATCAACCTCTGGTCACTGGGCAGCTGGTGAGAGGTTTCTGGAAGATGGTGAAATTGGCTGCAAAGGGTGCTGCACCACAAACTTCCTTGAGATTGTTTTGGTTTACATTATTGTATTTTGCACAACTCTGTTGCTTGTGAAGCTCGCACACAAGAATTTCACTCACATGTGCTGTACCAATGTACTTGCACATGTGATGTGACAATAAAAGTGATTTGATTTTGATTTGATTTGGTTGCTGGAGCATTGCTGCATCTGCTTGTATTTTGCATGCAGTTCTGGTTTTTGGTGCACTTCCATGCAGAATACTAGCAGATGCAGCAATGTGACATTTCAAAGTAGCTGTAGCAGTACTCACAACTTTTACTTTGACGGCAAACATTGTCTGTCTGAGTTTAACCAATCAGCAAGCTGTTGGCAAGTGTTTGCAGACAAGTCTGCATCTTTCATGCAAACTATGGCTGAGCGCTAGCAACCGAAGCAATCACAGGGGCGTTTTCCAAGCAGCAACCTCCAGAAGCCTCTCACTGGGGTCAGGGGATACACCGGTCAGTGAGAGGCTGACCAGGGGATGCACCTTTCCCCAGTGACTGGTGGCTCCAAAGGGGGGGAACCAACTTCACTGTGATTGATGCCTAACACGTGTTTATACTTTTGTAATTGTGCTTAATATAGTCAACATGTAAGCTAGGACTTATACATTGGCATTAACCCTTTAAAGCCGGTCTGAGCGGACACGCTCCATTTTGCGTAACTATTTTTAAATCCCGGTAGCTCTGCAACCACGTAAGCTAGCGCAATAATTTTTTTTGCATATGAAACCAGAGGAGTTGTACTTACATCTTATGGCATCAGCTTGTCCTCGGTCACAGTTTCCTTCCACATAAAGCTTTGCAAAAACTGCATAAAAAGCACTTGCAGCAACAAAAACATAATATTCCAGAAACACGCTTTGCCGATCCGATCAGCTGTTTGTAACACTTCCTACGTCCATCAGCGTGAACTATCGCATGTCCGCATGACCTGCCCAAAACCGGAAGTGACGTCATTTTGCGGAAATGTCGTTTTTTACCATCGTGGCCTTATGAGCCTATACTGGTGTTTTTAAAAGTTATGTTTGACTTTGTCTTTCTGTGTCGTTTCTGGGATGCTGAGGACTCATATTGCACTGCTGGAAATATTTTATTTTGATGCATATGCTGTTATTTTGCAAATTTGCACTATAATATATTTTTTCGTTTTTCCTGCAGTGTATGAAAATTGGTGTATCTCAAAAATAAAACTATGAAGACACTTAAAATAAATTTCCTTTGGAGGGAAACTAGTTTGTGTATTTACAGTTTTGAGGGATAAGCCTCTTGAATTTCTCTAACTAGAAATATATGTTAAAAAATCAAAAACGATTTTCAATTTTTTTGTAGTTTATTGCACTTTTTTGCAATTTATGTAATTACTATGCACTTAATGCAGACATATCATTAAAATTTGGGCTATAATGGTTGTATTGATGTATAGCAACTTGAAATGCTCCCAAAAATGGCTCTACAGCATGTAAAAATATAATATAAGCTCTGGCGAACTTGGTTCTATGGTAGGTCTTAAAGGGTTAAAATGTTCAGAAGTGGAAATGAGAGCCAGTTTTAGTTGAATACACACACACAAACACACACACACACACACACACACACACACACACACACACACACACACACACAAATGTAGAGTACATAATCAGCTAAAAGTTTGATTTCTTAAACTTAGGAAAAACTTTGCTCTTTGATGTCATCATTCAGTGCTGACAAACACATGTCAGAGCCATTATATGAAATGTGCTGTAGTCTTGCTAAACCTGCCATTTCGCATCAGCTCAGGTCAGCAGAGGTGGCGTTACAGGCTCATTACAGCGCAGCGTTCTGCTCCGACGCCTCCCGGCCTCTGTGTTCAACACGCTGGATTAAGTTACTGCTGCTAAAAGCTGAAACGGCTCTGATACACGGGCTGGTAGAGCAGAGCAGAGAGGTCGGGTCACCTGTTCTTAATGGCGTCTGTTTTATAGGCTGAACCGGAGGGTTGCATTACAACGATTACAATCATTTTTCTTGTATTTGTAGTATTAAGCGGGGACATAATTCAGATGAGACGGAGATGTGGAGGGAGAACAAGAGTGGAAAGAAATGAGGGTGCAGACGCTGAGTGATGAAGTCAAACGGAGTGAAAAGCAGGCAGTCAGAGTTTTAAAAGCCTTTTAGGATCAGCGGCTGGGAAATTAGCACTCTGACATTATCTTGTTGCGCTGAGCGAAGAGGTGGACGGCGGCCAGAAACTACAACAGTGCGACGATGTCCGACAAGAGGCCGATAAGCTACTTATTGTGTGTGTGTGTGTGTGTGTGTGTGTGTGTGTGTGTGTGTGTGTGTGTGTGTGTGTGTGTGTGTGTGTGTGTGTCAGTTTTACTAGATGCATGATTCTCCTCCACCACAGTTCAGGTGTAAACTACGTCTTTTATGTGACATCTATGTCGACAAAGTACCTTTTTAACAATTTTAGTTTAAGTCAAAGGACTAGTCAGTGTCAGATATTCACTATTAAAATGTTTACACAACAAATATAAAACTCTAGTATGCACATGTACTTTAAGTATTTGTGACTGTCCCACGATGCACTCTTTTTCTTGCCCTGTGACAGCTAAGATTAGCTGCACTGTGCCTGCAACCATGAACTGGATGATTGGTGGGTGCCCAGGTAGCTGCTATACTTTAACTTTAGCTTTACTGATTCCAGAGGCAGCAGAAATAAACACAAAGCAAATCTTTGAGTTCTACCATCAGCCTGAATAATCTCAAAGTCCACGAAAAGAAAAGGGTCAATAAATCCGTCAAACTCAGAAACAGACAGGGAATAAACGGGAACGACAACAACAACGAAAGGGAAAGGCAGAGCTTTAATGCTCACACAGGAAATGGATATGGGAGGGTGACGAGACACAGCTGAAACAAATGTAAACAACAAGGTAAGAGTTTTGTGTTCAGAGACATAACATTTAATTGACACAGTGCATTAACAAAAAACAAGTATCAGAGACTAAAAACCTGATCAAGAGAATGGTAACAGAAAAACCTTCAGTTCGACCAAACACATTTGGAAAAACGAACATGTGTCGGACACTCTCTGCTTTTTTTGAGCTGTTAAAATCAGTAGTTTCACTTTTACCTCCAAGTAAAATGAGTCCCACCCATGTAACCTGGTGTATTCCCTTTGTTATCCTAACAACCAGGAAATAAGATCCATATTTGCAATAACTGAAATTATCTTTTAATATTGTCCCGCAGCTTTGTGCAGGTATTATGAACCAACATGTGTGTCTTGGGAAGGCAGAGCTGTGGGAGATAAGGAGCATCATTTTTTTCGCCTGCTGCGCTGCCTCATTTACAGAGATCCACGGGATAATCACATCCCATTTTCTGCTCTTTATTCGGCCGAGGAGCAGTCAGAAAGAGCTTCTCTCTTCCTTTACAGCTTCCTATTCTGCGGCCTCTCAGCGCCGTAATCTGCCGTCCCTATTCTGCCTCGAGGCCACATAGAGGCTCATATTGTGTGTCTGCTGTGGGAGCAAAGTCGCTGAGAACGCTCCACGTTTCAGAGGCCTTGTTTGGGCTGTTGTCAGCTCCGGTTACCCCGCCTCTCTCCCTCTTCCAAGGCACAGGAGTCTTATTTTACCCAGGGAGCTCTCGTCTTTGTGCTGCCAAATATTGTCAGCCATTGGACAGTAAAGGAGACCAATCTCCTCTCAGTTCTTTGAGTCTTCCTTCTGCCAGGAAAGCTGCATTGTTACGTTGCAGCAGCAGACCAGGAGAACTTATATTACACAAAAATCACAACAAAACTGATTGTGCAAAAAATTTCATTAGCATGCACTTGGCGACAGTGGGAAGGAAAAACTCCCTTTTATATCTTCAAACCTCCAGACTTAGTCCGGTTCAGGGAGGAGCAGCCATCTCCCGAGTACAGTTTGGGGTGCGGGAGAAAATGAAGAGAACAGGAATTGAGTGATGATCAGAAAAATTATATCAGTATTTAAAGTTTAAAAGAATGTGGCTTTAATCTGAATATCTGCCTAAACTTTTGGCTGCTTTGCTTCTTGAACGTTCTTCGGTGTCTGATCACACCCAGCTGGGTGATGTGTAAGACTTTACTTGCTGGTGCTCACATGCTTTCTCTTGGTCCATACTGTATTGTTTTCTCGTTTGTCCCTCTTCAGCCAGAAACTAAGTTTACTCGAGCGTGTTCGCCTTCCTAATTCAAGACCGTCTGTGGTGGCAGTAAAGAAGCTGACAGGAAACGCAGACTCCATCGAGGAGAGTCCCTCCAAGGAGCCCAAACCTGGTGGCTTCACTAACCGGGAACGCTTCCGCACTGCCTTCCGAATGAAGGCCAACACACTCCGCCAGAGCTCTGAAGGTTTGAAACCAAAAAAGCACGGATAGCTCAGAGAGCTTTTGTCTTCCATATTGGTCTAATCCTTTTTTTTACTAACGCAAAATTCGTAATGTGTTTTTCTCTCAGATGCCGGAGGTGTGGCAGATCCAGCCTTAGAGGAACGGGGTTTCCCCCCTGACATCCTCCTGGAAGAGATGATCCCCACACTGAAACTGGTCATCAGGGCAGTCAGGTTAGGGTCAAGAACTGGGCTCTGTGGTCCTTTAAAGTCATCATTTAATTGATTTAGACCCAATCAATTAAAGAGTATAAATTGATACTGATAAGAAGAGAAAAATGTCCTATACTGTGATGCGCAGATGGGTGTTATGAACAAGGAAATGTTTTCTGGTTGCGCGATTGCTTTGTCTTCAGTCAGTGATGTAGACTGACTGAGTAAGGACATTATGACATCACTGTTGGATTGGAGAAAGGAAAATGTTATGAAGTCTCATAAAACCCTGGACAGGTCATCAGTGACCTGCTGGCTGTAAAACGCTTAAATGCAGTCACATGGATTAGCTAGAATCCAAACGTACAGACTGGTCAGTTCTTCTTCACCTGCTAAACAAACTGACAGGACAGAAAACAGAACTTTGTAGTAACGAATTCAAAATGTTTATTTACACCTTAAAATATCAATAACAACTTTTGGTCAGTTTTCTGCACAGTATGATAGTACGATTGGTCCTCGCTGTATGTGCTTTCAGAAAACTCTGCAGCAATCAAAATTCAACACAGTGAGCTATGCCAACCACAGAGTGTGGCAGAACTCTCACATGCTGACAGTGCATTGGTAAATCTATAGGCCACACAGCTGACATAATGCAGGAATTCAATCTAGTGCAAGGGCCTGCGAGATGAGTGATTAACCCTGTGAAAGTGCTGCTTCCTTCCACTCCATTATATCAGTGTTGAATGGGTTTCTGAATAGGATGCTCAGATCTGGAGGGTTTTAGTTTCAGGACCCAAGACTTTCTGCCAAACACTGGAGCTCGTGCAGCAGCAGTAGCTGACTCTGAAAGTAGGAGATCTGTAGGACAAAAACCGGAGCTCAGTGGGTGGCAGTGATGCAGGACTGAAAGATGCTGGGCTTACTATAATGCACCGGACAGAAAATGTCACGCACGGTTTCTGTGAAGGGGGCATTAATTACACATAACTGACAGATGTTACCTCTGTAACCATCAGTTTGTGGAGTCCTGTTATGAAGCTGTTAAGTGTTAGCAGCTCCAAATCTGATGTCATAAAGTTCTTTGAGGTAAAGAGGTGTCACTTACATTTAGTTGCTGGAAGAAAGAAATGGTGTATTGTTTTGTTTATTCACCTTGTCAAGCATACTGCTCCGAACTGTTATTGTGACAAGGAAGAAGAACCTTAAGGTGAAGACCAAAAGAAATGGCTCTTTAATACACGAGGACTCATTTGGATCCAGTAGGAGGTTGTAGTGTTGTTTTTTGGCATTTGAAGGATCCACTTTAAAGGCTTTCTGGAAATATCCAGCTGGGAGGAGACCCTGGACTAGACGGGAGGAATCATATGGTAATACCTGCCTTCCTCACAGCTCCAGTTTGACACTGCAGTGATGCTTCACAGAGTTTTGCAGATGCCACTTGGAAATAGTATAACAATCGTGATGAGTAAGCAGATACGTAGGCTACTCGTGATTGTTTTTGCTATTATTGTTGTCTGTGAAGGTTCTCAGTCATCCAGGTCATCGTAGTCAAAGGAGCTTGCAAAGAAAAGCGTCTGGACTTCTTTAAGTTACTTGAAGACGTTTCACCTCTCATCCGAGAAGCTTCTTCAGTTCTAAGGTCAAATGGTGGAGAGTCCCAGATATAACCTAGTGGGAGTTTCCCCCCACAGAGGGACGAAAGGACCCCCTGATGATCCTCTAATCGCCTGAGCCAAGGTGTGAAACTGGGCGTGGGTCCCAATCAGCCAGAGTTTCGGGTGTGTTCATTGTGAAACCTGGCCCCACCTTATCATGCGAATTCCTGAGGTCAGATGGCCAAGGATGCGAGTGGGCGTTAAGGCATCTGGGAAGGGATCTCAAAACTGGATTATAGATGGCAGAGAGTTGGTGTCGTAAACCCCGCCTCTGTTCAAAGATGGTCACTCACAGTGGGCATAGATGGCTTCTTTCACTCCTCTTTCAAACCATCTGTCCTCTCTGTCCAAAATGTGAACATTGGCATCCTCGAAAGAGTGACCTTTATCCTTAAGATGCAGATGGACTGCTGAGTCTTGTCCTGTGGAGGTGGCTCTTCTGTGTTGTACCATGCGCTTGTGAAGTGGCTGTTTGGTCTCTCCGATGTAGAGGTCTGAGCATTCCTCGCTGCACTGTACAGCATACACCACATTGTTAAGTTTGTGTTTTGGCGTTTTGTCTTTCGGGTGAACCAGTTTCTGTCTGAGCGTGTTGCTGGGTCTGAAATGCACCGGGATGTCATGCTTGGAGAAAACTCCTGAGTTTCTCTGATACACCGGCTACATAGGGGATGACAATGTTGTTGCGTCTGTCCTTCTTATCCTCCCTCGCTGGTGTCTGATCTTGTTTTCTGTGCCTCTTTGCTGACTTTAAGAACGCCCATTTAGGATAGCCGCACGTTTTGAGTGCTTCCTTTACATGTGTGTGTTCCTTCTTTTTCCCTTCAGGCTTAGAGGGAACATGTTCTGCCCGGTGGTGTAGGGTCCTGATTACTCCAAGTTTGTGTTCCAGAGGGTGATGGGAGTCAAAGAGGAGGTACTGGTCCGTGTGTGTGGGCTTCCGGTAAACTTCGATGTTGAGTTTGCCGTTCTCTTCAATGTGCACAGTGCAGTCCAGGAAAGGCAGACAGTTGTCCTTTGTGTCTTCCCTGGTGAACTTGATGTTCTTATCCACAGCGTTAATGTGCGCAGTGAAGGATTCCACTTCTTGTGTCTTCAAGCAACTTAAAGAAGTCCAGACGCTTTTCTTTGCAAGCTCCTTTGACTGCTATTATTGTTCATTTTGCACCTGTTACAGAAAAGACAAAAATGGATGAAGAAGTTATTTGTGTTTGAGTGAAGCTGTTAAAAGTAACAATTTAACCTTGGAGTGCTTTCAGACTACGAGACTGTTGCACTGTTTTTGTACTTTTTCCTTGGATAACAAATCGACTGTGGTGTGTTTCTATTCAAGCTTTCAGCTTACTATTTGACTTTGAGCAGAAGCGATGAGGCTTTGGCTTGTTGTTGTACTCCACAGCCTCTGCACTGGTTCAGTTCCCATAATTAGTGTCTCCCAGTAGATAAACCGATAGAAACACGGGATCATATATCAATTTTTAGTTTTCCGCCTTAAATCTATTTAATAGTAACATGGTGCCAGTACTTGTGCTTAGTAAGTGTGGGCAAAGAAATATGGAGTGAATCTACCAATAATTGAGGAATTTCTGGTGGTCGCTCTTCCCACGGCCACTGGTGGCTCCACCGTGTCAGTGGAAAAGGGGTAAAAGACCGCAGACAAACATTAATTCAAATTCAAATTCAAATTTTATTTGTCACGTACACAGTCATACACAGTACGATATGTAGTGAAATGCTTGGACAACTGCTCGTGACCTAAAGAAAACAAAAAAGGAAAAGGCTATGAATAAGATAGGAAATAAATATGAAAAATTAAAAAGGGTAAATTTAACTAGGAAGGAATAGAATATAAATTAAGGTTAAAAATGAAATAACTGTACAACACAAATTAGAATGAAGGGTAAATTTAACTGGGAAGAATAAGATAAAGATAAATATATAAATTAAAGTTGAAAATAAAATAACCGTACAACAAAATACACAATATAGAACTATATAAGAATGTATGAAGAAATCTAAATATAAATAAATATATACACAATAACAGCAGCTGTACAAGTATTAACTGGAAATGAAGAATATAGTGACCAGTGTTGTGCAAAACCAAAGTCCAGAAAGTCCAGTGTGTGTGTAAGAACCATATGTGTGGGTCAGTACTGTGTGGTGGTGTGATTGAGAGACCGTATCGCCTGCGGGAAGAAGCTCCTCCTCAGTCTCTCTGTGTTGGTCTTCAGGGAGCGGAATCGCTTTCCTGACCTCAACAGAGAGAACAGTCTGTTGTTGGGATGGCTGAGGTCCTTCACCATCTTCCTGGCCTTGGTCCAGCACCGCCTGCTGTAGATTGAGTGCAGGTCAGGGAGCTTGGAGCGGATGGTGCGCTCAGCTGACCGCACAACCCTCTGTAGAGCTCGTCTGTCCTGCATGGTGCTGTTCCCGAACCAGGTTAAGATGTTTCCCGCCAGGATGCTCTCTATGGTGCACGAGTAAAAGTTCCTGAGCACCTTGGAGGGCAGTTGGAAGTCTCTCAAGCGTCTGAGGTGGTAGAGACGCTGTCGGGCCTTTTTCACCACAGTGTTGATGTGACAGGACCATGACAGGTCCTGCGTGATGTGAACTCCGAGGTATTTGAAGCTGTCCACTCTCTCCACTGGGCACTCGTTGATGACGGGGGTCTGGTAGTTCCTCTCCTGCTTAGTGCTGAAGTCCACTATCAGCTCCTTTGTCTTACTGACGTTTAGAAGGAGGTTGTTCCTCTGGCACCAGTTCTCCAGATTCCTAATCTCCTTCAGGTAGGCCGTCTCGTTGTTATCAGAGATCAGGCCCACCACGACGGTGTCGTCAGCAAACTTGATGATGGTGGTGGAGCTGGTAGTGGCCACACAGTCATATGTGTACAAAGAGTACAGCAGGGGGCTCAGAACACACCCCTGGGGGGCTCCAGTGCTGAGAGTGGTGGAGGCTGAGACATGTCCGCCCATCCTTACTGCCTGTGGTCTGCCAGTTAGGAAGTTGGAGATCCACTGACACATAGATGAGCTGAGTCCCAGATGCTCCAGCTTGGTGTTGAGTGTGGAGGGAATTATGGTGTTAAATGCAGAGCTGTAGTCTATGAAGAGCATTTTAACATAATTCCCCCTTCTAGTGTCCAAGTGAGTGAGTGATGTGTGGAGGAGATGAGAGATGGCATCGTCTGTGGAACGATTTGGACGGTAAGCGAACTGTAGTGGGTCCAGTGTGGTAGTGAAGAAATGATGAAGTCTCTGACCAGGCGTTCAAAGCACTTCATCACTACTGAGGTGAGGGCTACAGGGCGATAGTCATTGAGAGAAACAGGGTGGGGTTTCTTCGGGACAGGAACAATGATGGACTCTTTGAAGCATGTGGGGATCACCGACTGAGATAAAGAGATGTTGAATATCTCAGTGAACACAGGAGCTAGCTGGTATGCGCAGTCTCTTAGGATACGACCTGGGATGCCGTCTGGTCCTGCTGCTTTCCTGGTGTTCACTCTCTTGAAGGCTCTCCTTACTTCATGCTCGGAGATGACGAGCACGTTTCCAGTGCTGGCAGTATCTTCCTGTCTGCAGCCGTTAGCGCCGCTAACACTAGCATTGTTGGAGACCTTAGCTGCAGCCTCGAAGCGAGCATAGAAAGTGTTCAGCTCGTCTGCCAGAGTCACAGCCGCGTTCGTCATACCGGTCGTTGGTGCTTTATAGTCCGTTATTGTCCTTAGTCCCCGCCACAGGCTCCTAGAGTCACTCTGTTGGAGTTGTGACTCTAGTTTCCTCCCGTAGCGCTGCTTCGCCTCTTTCACCGCCCTCCGCACGTTATATGACGCGGCTTTGTACGGGTCCATGTCCCCCGTCATGAGTCCCGTGTTGTAGGCAGCGGTGCGGGATCTCAGAGCGTCGCGGATGGTTTTATCCACCCACGGCTTCTGGTTGGGAAACGTTGTGATAGTCTTTGTCTCCACGGTATCATCCGCTAGTTATTAGGGCCAGTAAATGTAGTGTTGTTTAGATCAGATACGTTAATAATGTTAAGATCTAAACCAGTGAAATGCTTCTCATTTGTTTGATTCTTGCATTCCTGTTTCCTGACAAACACGTGTCTATACAATGAAGGTAAGTGTGGTAGCTGACGTTTGTTAACTGTGTCTGATGTTTGAGAAGTGTTTTCATTTGAAGTGTTTGTTGCCACACAGGATCATGCAATTCCTCTTGAACAAGAAGCGGTTTAAGGAAACTCTGAGGCCTTATGATGTCAAAGATGTTATTGAGCAGTACTCTGCTGGACACCTGGACATGCTCTGTAGAATTAAATACCTCCAGACGAGGTGAGTTAGTCTTTTACACACGAGGCTGATCAGTTTGAACGAAGCCAATTTTCTCTTTTCCTCATGCTCATTATTTTTTTTTATTTTAAGGATTGACATGATTCTTGCCCCTGGACCTCCTCTCACCCCAAAACACAAGAAAACTCAGAAAACACCCTTTACTTACCCGCCCAACCAGTCACCCAGGTACTGCTACAGAGCTCTAAAATGGCTACAATGTTGTAAAACAATTACAAATTAGTATAAAGGTTAGTTATAACTATGTTATTTAGTTTTTGTAACAAATGTCTGTGCAGTCCACATCTACTCGATGTCCCTTTGTTCCAGGCATGAGTCCTACATAGCCAAAGCCACATCCATGCCAGATGCGGAAGACCAAAGCATGATGGGCAGATTTGTCAGGGTGGAGAGACAGGTAACAACTAAAACTACTAAAGGCAAATATTCTGCCAAGGTGTTCCTTCTCCAAACAAAGTAACTCTTTGTATTGTTTGAGATAAATTGTTTTATAGTTTAGTTTGTTACCCTTGGGCTTTGTATGTTGAGACATCTGGCGACAATTTAGAGTTTAATGTAATGCCAGTAAAATTTGCTAATTTAGAAAAAAACTGTCACGTTGATGAGACCAGAAACACTGGCAGACCTTTTGGAACAGGACACTTAAATTACTGTTTCCAATAAAACAAAGCGCTGCACTGCCAGGGTCAGAGAACCCTCTGAATATGGCAACAAGCTGCTTCAGCTGGAGATGACTTTGAACAGCAGATCTATTCAACCCATTTGGCCCAACTGTAGCAAATATTACTAATCATGTTATGCGATTACACTTGCAGTTCTTACTCGATTTCAGTTCTGCAGCATGCAGTGACTTCTACAGCAAGACAAAAAGAGTCTATAACCTTCACCACCACCGAACTATCATCCGCTGTTTAACACTTTACAAGATAAACTGGACCAGGCTTAAAAAGAGAGACTTTCATGATTCTGTTCTGCCCGTCTTTCCTGTGCTGAGTGTTTCTCTCCTGCATCTGGAGCATTGTCGTCATTATTAGTGGTGGTGCAGGGTTCATAATTAATGGTTTTCTTTAGGAAGATTACCAAGATTAAACTGTGAAAACACCAAGTTATCAGTAAAAGAATCAACATGATATTTGATATTTCTCATATCTGCAATGTCTGCAAAGGTTTTATCAAACCTTACTAAAAGCACTGAAGGGGTTACTAACATTTCTTTACATCATATTTTGGCCAAGGTGATTGGTAAATAAACACACCTGTTATGCGATCCACTGGTTCCATTGTGTATCTCTCTCTCAGGTGGAGGACATGGAAAAGAAGTTGGACTTCCTGGTGGACATGCACATCCAGCACACTGAGCACCTGCAGGTGGACTCTGCCGGCTCTGCCCGCATGACCCTGGAGACCTGCAATCCTACGGCAAACGGTGAGATCAGACGGGTTTTCCTCAACTACGCCGAGGCGTTCCCACACATGTACCAGGTGCCTGTCAGCAAGGCGAACCCCTATTATGGCCGTGGAAGAGGAGGCACAGAAGGGGTGGGGTTGGCAGGAGGAGTCGGCATTGCCCCTTCGGTTCATCAACCCCAACCCCCACCTTCAGCAATCATCCCCACTTACACCGAGCGTCCCACAGTGTTGCCCATCAGCTCCCTGCAGGACTTGTCAGTGGGACTGGGTAGGACCACAGGGGGGCAAGGTGGTGACTCACCGCTCTCCATGCTATCGGTTAACCACGAGGAGCTGGAGCGCTCGCCCAGTGGATTCAGCATCTCTGGGGAGCGGGAAGGGGAGAACTTCTCAATGGGGGCCGGTTTGGCGCCCGGGGACCCTGGCTGGACGAGACCCAGGCCGAGCTACCTGGCGGAGGGGGAGACGGACACAGACACAGACCCTTTCACACCAAGTGGGGGCCCCCTGCCTCTCTCCTCCACTGGTGAGGGATTCGGCGACGCTGTGTGGACCATGCCACCCTGAGAGGAAACAAATTCGGCGCAGATATCCACCACTCTGAGTTAAGATATTAAATTCAACCCAAGCCTCTAAACCCAAGCCCTGGGTCAAAGCCACCGCTGTGGACTGAACGTCTGGGGAGGTTAAGTTGGATCTTATCCGAGATAATCGACCTTCAGAGGCCACCGCAGATCTCATCATGCCATCCACGGTCCAGTCAGAGAGCCATGGCACTGAGACTGCCCAGAAAAAAGAAATAAAAAGGGAAACCACACCGTTTGTAAAGTAAAACTCTGTACAGCGCACTCTTCGCAAAAGTTTAGCTGACATAAAAAAAGAACAATAATATACATACTATATACACCCAAAAGCTTTATTGCTGCAAAGCCAACCGCACTGCATGTAACGCATGCGATTTTTAGTGTAGTCACTGCAAAGTTCAGGATATCAGGAAAAGGAAAAAGAGAATGAATGGTTACGTATACTTGCTATGCCATTTTGTAACACTTATTTTTTTATATGAATACATTTTCATTGTTTTTGCATGGTTTGCATGATAATGCACCACTGTAGGAGTTGACGATTAGAAGGTGATCCTGGAACCAAAAGTCTCCTGTCTTTAATTGTTTGGTGTGTGTGTGTGTGTGTGTGTGTGTGTGTGTGTGTGTGTGTTAGAGAAGAGAGAGAGACTTTGGTAATAAAACCATGGCTAGTTTGCTGGCAGTCATGTTTCACCGTTTCTACTTTTCTCATGTTGCTCTGTAAGGTCTCTGAGGATCAATTCTGTCCAGAAACCAGATTTGTTTTCTGGTCTCAGTGTTTTGTTTTCACGCCACTGTGCTCAAATTGTGTGTCACCACTTTGTGTGAACTGACTATCCACTTGAAAATTTGACTGCGTTTGAAACACTAAATCTGCTGCTTTGTTGGCACATGAATTCAGGGATATAAACCACCTGTGAAGTTCTGCTTCTGCTTGATCAGTATTCAGAGCGTAACTTCAATGCAAAAATAGTGGCTTAAATTTCCAGCACTAAAAAGATAAAAAAGATTCCTACATAAAGGGAGGCACAATATGTCTGTCCCAGTACTCACACTTGTGGTCTTGAAGTAACACAATCTGTTCTTGATGCACATTTCTCCAAAGTTAAGTTTGTAAGTATTTCTAATAACTTTCTGTGCTCAGCTTTTCCAGGAAAAAAACAGCCTTTTTGGAGTAATACTGCATAAATTCAGTTTTTAAGAACTTGGATCGCCTGTAGTTTAAAACTTATCAAATGAGAAGAACTACTCAAAATGAAGATGAATAGGCTCACTTGTGCATTTACATAATTGACTTTTGATTTTCTAATGTGTCGTTATTAATAACTTTTTCATTGTTATCAAAAAATTGATCAATGGTGGGCCCTTTGTTTGTTTCTGGGGATTAGCCTAATGTTGGCTAACACTAGGTTGCTAACACAGACAAATTGCTAGCTAAATATTATCTGGAGTGTATAAGGTAAGCTCGTTCAGGAGGTAAACCTGGTGCTAGGTTGGCTACTCATTTTAAATTGCTTTGTAGCTGATGCCAGATTCATGCAGTGTAGCTAAGTTATAGTTAACCAGCTATCCTTTAGCTTTCTTGCTAACATTACTGTCATATTCTTCTTTGTGTGGTGGTGTATAGCGTTTTGATAAGGTACCGTCTCAAATCGATCATTCCCAGTCAGACCATTGGCAGAAATTATCTTTGAATATGACTATGATCGCTGCATTGTATGAACACTCATAAGGATAAATTCTTGCACAGTTACGATGACAATTTAGCAGTAAACACCACTTAGCAAGCTAGCTAGTCCAGCTATCTCCTGCTCAGACTGTGAGTCTGAGTTTCAGAAGAGCATTGTTGGGTGGTCCATCTCTTTTTTTACAAAGCCAGTGTGGCTACCATTTATTGCGAGAAGTGTCACATGTTTCAAATTCAGTTTTTTTCATTGTTATGGGTGTGGGCCTGCTGACTTTCAGCTCTCACAATGCCAGGACATTACAGAAGACACTGCATGGGGAGAATGATCCCTTTTATGTTCAAATACTAAGCACTACTGTTTGAGTGAAAACTACTGTTAACTAAATCAGTGAAGAATAAAGGGGATTCAGAGCATCACATTTTACGGGGAATCACAAAAAAAACCCCCAAAAAAACAAACACATTCCTACCGAGCATCTAACACAGGAATAATCAAAGGTGAGATCTGGTCTCAGTTTTATTTATATAACACCAATTTTGTTTGGTAAAAAAAAGGGTTTGAGACATAGGTGCTGAGTGTTAGTGCAAGTTCACTAAGTAACTAGTAAATGTGATATAATGGCTTATAAATTATATCAGTTGATTGAATTCAAGACAAAATTGAGTAGCACTTCAAATTAAGCTCGTATAGCTAATATTAACCTTCTACAGTACTAGAAAAGAGTGATTAACGGCAAGGGAAGTTAACTATAGCCACGCTGCATGTGTCTGGCATTTTAGCTTTGATATCATTCTGTTCTCACAGTAATACGATGGGCTTGTAGCTGCAGTAGATGACATACAGTTCATACAATAGTGCAACAGAACAGTGAAGGACAGGCTCGCTGCTGTTTTGACCGATGCCACAAACAGAAGCTATAGCATGCTAAATACACTTCATGGTTTTCTAGATTTTACTCACTAAAAAAACTTTCTTTTTGTTTTTGGATTGTCTTACTTCTATTAGCTCCTCAGATCATAATAGTAAGACCGGGTGGTTGGTTGGTGTACTTTCCCGTAAATCAGCTGAGCCATATATAGTATTTGCAGGAGCGATGGTGTACTTGTGTATCTAAGATCCAACAATACTGGAAATTCACCAAATAAATGTGCATTAGGATACTCGTGATGACGTGTGGTTACTGGGACAGTCTTCAGATTCCTTTTTAAAATGTTCACTCTTATTTTAAAGTTGCTTTAAAAAAAGAAAAGAAAAAAAACAAGCAATAATGAAATATTAGCCATGTTGCATCAAAATAAACCACAACAAATTCGAGGCAGTCATGTTCCCAGGTGTTGGATAGCGCCGTTTTGTCAGATGCCGCATCTGTGTCTTTCATTTGGCAGAACTGGTCACCAAGAAATAAACCAACCCAGTTTAAAGACCTATAGAACCCAACAGAAGAGGTGCCAGATTACAGGTTTATTAACCAGCGATTGCAGTTCACTAAGGTAACCCCTATTAGGCCCCTGAGGTAAGTTTGGGCTCAAATAACAGCAGGACTCCAGCTACAAAAATCTCTGATATGGGTTCAGATGTGCTTCTTTACACTACAAATCTTCTCCTGTGAAAAACGGTGAGTTGGACATATCAGCGTTCCATCAAACATCACTAGTGAAAGACACGTACACGGTTTTGACGTTATTTAGTGTTCTGGGAATCAGAACAGCCAGGAAAATTCTGTAGCTGTGTTTTGTTTCTTAAATACGAATTAAGGAACGCAAACAATAATTTCCACTGAATTTTAGGTGCGATTTCTGCTGCAAAGCTCCAATAAATCCGGTATGGTAGCTAAAAACTGAAAGTTGTAACTCTGTATGCTGTAGCTCAGAGAACAATAAGGACACCGCCTAAAATTAGCATACTGAATTTAGCTTTTCTACACTCCAATTAATCATTTAAATTTTAGTTTGAATTATTGCAACTTTAAACCTGCTGTATAGTTCAGTGCTGTGTTGTGAGCAACTCGAATGTCTAGTTACAAACACAGAAAACCTCAAACTGAAAAGAGAAATAAAGGTACGTGAAGGCGGAGCTTCCTGATCAACAGGTATTTTTAAAATGAAAACACCACAAAGCCAGACCTGACCACCTACTGCAAATAAAAAGCTTTACAGACGACCACGTATAGGCCTAAACTGCATTTATTACCTTAGACTTAGGACGACACTGATATTGAATGTAATATCTCACAATATGTACACACATGAATTATTATCAATACACAGTTATAGCATGTTCAGGCACCTTCACAGTTAATTGACAGAGGAAACTTCCACACCAGGCTTCAACTCTACAATTCGTTGCTTTGTTTACTTTTACTGTTTCTGACCTAAAAATCATGACTAATGAACTTATCTTGCATTAATTATTTTTAACATTAACTTTTAACTTCGTTAAATGGATAAAGTTTTGGTTTAGTATCCGTGATGACCAGCCAGATCATTTCTGTGTTGAACTGGAACAACACAGATAGATACAACACATTTAAGATGATGTTTGGAGGCTGCAGGCTCCTCTCACTGTTTACTGGTTTGTGTGAATCTCTACAGCGAAGAAGGAGAGGGCAAAGTTGGAGTAATTACAGTTTGTTTGTTCTAATATCTCAGTTTAATGAGATGAAACGTCACCCACTGGTTTTGAAGCTTTGCTTTTTGGCCTCTGCCATGTTGGTTTTTTGGAGGCAGAAGTGACCATATTTGAGGTGGATGTTATCAGCTAAGGCCAACAAACTTGGTTAGACCTCACTCACACAGGTCTAGAGACTTGTTGTCAACCGTCTGGCAACCACTACTTGCTGTTGCTTGGTGAAATCGGTCACACAGATGTACCTACTGCTACACCAAAAGGTTGGACGACCAAGAGTTTGGTGAGTGTTTGCAGACAAGTTGGCATTCACTGGTTTCTTTGTGTACACTGAGAGTAGCGGCACCAAAACCGAGTTGGTGCTGGTGTTAGTAAATCTGACTCTTAGACTGTAAAGGTGCATTGCACAGGCATGGATTTCTGCTAATGAGTGCTAGTAACTAGAATAATAAAACCTCAGTTTCACTCACCAAAACTGAAGCACAAACCTCTTGGATGTCTTCACTTCATAGTAAACTGTAATATTTTTTTGGATGATTCCCATAAAAATCCCTCTGAAGACTCCAACAGCACAAAGAGTCCTCAGATCCAGTTCAGTGACTCCAGTTAGCAGTGGTCACGAAAATTTTAAATCTTAGAAAAATCTTCTAAAGTATAAATTAAATCCATCTATTTGGAGCCGACCTCAGCCAGAGGACCAACTGCTGGTTTGGTTTTAGTAAAACGTCTCCGCAGGTAGGTTAAAAGAAGCCTGGTGTGGATCCAGCTACCATCTGTGAAATTAGCCAGGTGAACCAAACCCTTATGATTATTATTATCTATTTAGTGTATTGTTAGAGTTGCTGTTATCCTCTAATCCTTAAATTAAAGTCATTAAACTATATATTATATGAACACCGGCATCAGACGTCACCACATATAGATGTAAAAATGATGACAATATCCCTGCAGACGTTCATTCATTGTGCCTCTGAAGCAAGAAGCAACATTCAGAATGACTCCACGCTGTCATTCTTTATTTAGTGTTTCAGCGTCACTTCATCTCCACCGAACAAAGCACACGGGATTTTTGAATGTCGGCTCTGTTTCCTTCTGTAGTGCTTCGTCTTTTCTTAAAACCAGCTCAGAGTGCGGTCCTGCTTTTGTAAAATGCCGTTTTGTAGTTTTTGTGGTGCTTTTTGGCTCATTTACAGATTCAGCATGGTTTCAGCTGCACAGAAATTTTGTAATGGTTCACTTCTGCTTTCTTCGTTATATCTAAAGTTCATTCGTCTTGTTCTGTTGAGGTTTGATCGGTCTCGCTCCAAGCCTGTGCTTTTGTTGCCTTGCACAGTTTAATTTACAGAAAGTATTCTGTGAGTTAGTGACACTGCTTCCGTTTGAAACTAAAAACTACAAATGGCTTCCTTTCTAAATTTACAGTCACGAATCAGTTTAAGAATGTCTCACAGGGAATACATAACGACAGCATTGGTACATTTATAGTTTCATGGCAAATTACTGTTAATATGAACTTTTGTTTTTTTTGTAAAGATTTGTCAAAACAGAAAAAAAATTGTCTTCCAGGACACTGAAGTATGCTGTGAAAAAGTGATGCTAGCAAAAGCAGTTAACAGTAAAATGGAAATATGTCAGATTACACACGAAAAACCTGAAGTTCTTCTCAGGAATTCACAAAATTTCAAATACAGTGGAACCCCGACTTACGAATACCCCATTTAACGAAAAATTCAAGTTACGAAGGCGCTTAACGGCAATATTTCTACCCGTGTTACGAAGTCCGCTGGCTCTGATTGGCTGAGCCCAGAATGCCTACAATGCCCACAATGCCTTCCGAATCATGTGACAACCCCCTTGGCTTTCGGACTTGCGCTTCGCTGTTCCACTTGAACGACGCCTATCGTTCACTCACAAGGCACGATGGGTGCTTCGACTTACGAAAATTTTTGACTTGCAAAAGACCCTCGGGAACGAATTAATTTCGTAAGTCGGGGTTCCGCTGTATTCAGCTTGCTAAAGCCGCTGTTTATATCAAGCATGGTGACAATATCACAGACGTTGCAGTTTAACAAGTCGTTTTGTCTACAGTTACATTTCTTTTGTTTCCTTAAAACCAATAAATCTCCCATACGTGAGATGATTTTAACGACTTCTGAAACAAGGTTAGCTAAATTTCCGGAGAACCAAATCAGAACCATTTTTATTTAAATAAAATATGTGACTGAATGACTTGTTAAGGACCAGTGTGAGCTGACCAAAGCCATCTTCAGTATCCCTAACCAACTTGCTAGCATTACTTTTCACAGTAATAATGATAATAATAATAATAATAACTTATAAAGCGCTTTCAAACGAAGTGCTGTACAGCTATTTGAAACTAAAAAGATGAAGTAAGTAAAATAAATCCACGTTACGTGAATTAAAGACATCTTGCGTGTTTGAAACGATGTCTGAACATGATACTGTGTTGCTGTTTTGTAGTGAAGGGTTTGTCCTGTAAGTGGCCATGTTATTACTCTGTATGAATTTCCTGCCAAACGTTCTCCAGTCACGTCTTTGGGAGAAACCTCTTCACCTCAAGCAGGAAGTGATTAAACTCCACTTTGTCCTGGGCAAACATGAAAAGGAGTGGAATTAGAACATCCATTGGTCACCGTTCATTGGAAATAAAAAAAAGTTAAATTCTTCTTATGTTTTGGGAATTGTTAGTCACCTCATCTGTAGATGTACCTGGTGGCTGATGAACACTCACTTTAACAGCTGTTCTGTTGAAACAGCTGCCTCTGATACAAAACTGTTCAATAATGTTTATTAAGGGGATTTGAGGTGTGAGGAACTCCAGTAAAACCTGCAGAGCCAAAACTAGGAGTCACTCCAGTGAAGTTGAATCAATTTGCACACTTGGCACCAGGCCTATTTTACTTTATGTCTCCGTTTACTTTATACTGTAAGCGGACACAAGAGTGACTTTGAATGGGTTTTGGTGACTCGTCCCATTACTTTGCCCTGTGAATGAGCCCTTTGCTTCTCTGGCTTGTAGACGAGGTTTTAATCAGCTGATGAGGTCACTGGAGGAGTTAAACATTTACTAACCCGATGTTCTCTCATGTACTCATGGCTTTGTCACCAATTTGTCTTTTTTATTTTTCTGAATCAGTGTGATGGGATGAAATGAAGTTGCTGACCTCGGGTGATCATGATTGGCTATTTAATTCTTAAAGCTTAAACGGTGTGCTCATTATTTGACAATAAGGGGGGATGCTGTGTGACAGCTCAGAGCTATTTTTTTGACTTGCATTTGAAAAATCACCTTTTCAGGCATCAGTGCACAGTACAGACTTCAACCTTATTCTTTATTTTCGACATTGCATTTGTCTGCGTAACCTCCAAAACACAAACTCTGACCAACACACATACTGGTGAATTAATGTGATGGTTAAAGTGGATCCGTTCTGCCTTCTGCCAGTGTATGAACGGCGAATCCCTGTGAATTAATGCTGCTTTTTTCTCTCTGCTTGGGTTTGTATGATGTCACGGAGAGCAGATATCCTTAATATGGCCATCTAAGGCACAGTAAGCCCCGCCCACCTGCTCTAATTTGTTTGGGAGGGGCAGCCCG